CTAGTCATTATAATAATTACCGTATTATGAAAGGCCGTGTATTGAAAATCAGTAATCGCATTAAATGGAAATCAGTATTCATATATTAGTTTTCATATCGTTTTTTGTTGCATACTAATTGCTGCCGCTATTCTTATTTAACTTGTTTTTTTTTTAACATTCCGATCATATGAATTTTGAATTTTAATTACAGGAAAACTAAATGACTGGCAGTACTCCGGCATTGTTCATACCAATTGTGAGTGAAACCGTTATCCGGAATGCTGTAACAGATCAGTCTTATCTAGCCACTTCATCTCATCATCATTTACATTTTAATGAATCATTATCCGAAATTCGCGATCATCCTAAATCTGAAATTTCTGGCACTCGAAAAAATCGCCGTGATCGAATTAATATTTTGCATTTGCTACGTCGACAATTGGCCAAAATTGCATCACATAATTTTTACGCAACGCAACGACGAAATAAGCAATCGGAACTATGCCATAGCGTACGTGATGATAATGAAATGAAGCAAATATTAGAATGTAATGGTGGGTAACTATAAAATGGATTTATATGAATTTCATTCAAAATTTTTCAAATTATCAAGAATTGATCTTTTAATTTTAATTACATCACAAATTGAGGAGTTGAATTTTCATTAAAGTTATTTCTCTCGAGACATGAAATGATAAAACTGATCAATAATGCTAGTTTAACCTATGAAGTATTCTTAATGCAATAGTTTAACAATATTTTTTCCTATGAAAAAAAAAGTAAGAAAACATATTCTCAATGAAACATAATTCTCTCTTATATTCACTATTAGCAATCACTTGATAATTTAAATCACATAAACAAATTAAGGTTCGGATAATGTTAATTTACGTCATTATAACGAAAATAATTCTGGCCAATCTGAAAAAGCTTACTGTGATCGCGAAAACGATGAAAGGTGTCGTTTTCAACCGACACCAGCTGTTTATCAGGATCCTTACTGTGCTGTTACTGTTGATCGGAAAGTTCACATTTACGAATATTATGTACAGAGCGATCAGTTTATCGATTCAAACTGTTACTATAACGTAAACATTTTTTTTTCCTTATCGTCGTAACGCTATAATTACTGTAACATGAAAATTTTGAAGATATTTGCGTGCATGCGCGTGTATGTATGTATGTATTTATGTTACAACCAATGTAATAATAGATTCTAATATATTTTTTTTGTTTCTACTTTCTTTTTGAATTTTGACGTTTCTAAATTTTCAATTATAGATTCTAATATATATTTTTTTTGTTTCTACTTTCTTTTTGAATTTTGACGTTTCTAAATTTTCAATTTCAATCAGTAATCTTCAGAACAATATTTCACAGAATTCGACACAAACCTTAGATACTATTTTTATTTTTATAAATTCATTTTGAAGTTTAGCAAAACCTTCTGTATTACACTTCGTCTTACTTCATCTTATACAATAATTTCAATAATAAATCCCAGACAGTTCAAATTTTCAGGTCAATTCATTTCCTTGAATAAAATGCAATTATAGGCACAAAGCACAAGAACTGCTTATACAAATGATATTGCCGCAGTTTTTCATGCCGATAATGAAGGACAATTAACGGGCAACATTTGTCGATCGTGGGGACTCTCGCGGAATTCCGTTTGGTGGGCGGCCGATCCACAAAGGTATTTTTATTTGTGGAACAAAATTTGAATAACCGGAACCGGATGCGAAAAAAGTACAATAGTTGCAATTAACTCAAATGATTGTGCCTTTTAGAAAACCGTAAATCCAACATTCATCTTTGTTTACCTTGCTAACAGTCCTGCATCCACTTATATTATCTTTTATTCCTTAATCTTTATACTCTGAAATTCATTTCTTTCTGGAAGCGTACTATCGCTCAAAGATTTGAAGATCACTTTCACAAGCATACCGTGATTGAAAACTTGGCAAATATTTCCTACTCTCCATAATCTGTTTGCAATTTATCGCCATTTCCAAGTTTTCTTAACGTTCAGCCAAGATAAAAATCCAACTATTGTTGATTAATAAACCATCAAGTTTTAAAATCAGACTTTTTGAATTTATTCGAAATTTAATTTTCTTAGTTTACAGCTAGAACTGGACATGAATACCTGCTTAGATAAATTTATTATAACTTGTTGTACACTGCACTGATTGCTGCTTTAGTAGTAATAATAAATTTCAGAAGTGTTTCCGGAAAGGAGATGTGCCTGGTTGTTTTGCAGTTGAAAGATCATCCAATTCTTATTGGTTTTACTGTTATCAAATTGGTCGCTTTTATAAATGCTCTAAAAATCTGTGGTCTTGATAAGGATTGCAAATTCATTTCTTCATTACCCACAGTAGCAGAAGCCAGTGCCTTAGAAATTAGGTAAAAAAAAAATTTTATTTTCCGCCTAGAACATGAATTTGATCACTTGACTATAAAGAGCACTAGAGTACATCTTATTGCTACTCCCAATTGCTTTTTAAACGTACTGCGCATTTTAGTAATTCTAACACAAATGAATGCATCGCTTTTTAATTCAAACTACTAATTTTTAGGCCACGTGAAGAAGTCAGTCAAACAGAAACAAAAAGTTCAACCGATGAAGTCTCATCCCAGTGAGAGTTCTAAAATGTTACTGCTACATTCAAACTCAAACTATCGGTTTCGCTGTTTTCGAGGATATCATGGACAAGAATTCCAAATGAATGGTTGAACCACAGTTCTCATTATTAAATTACATGAGTCATGAATTTAATATCACTCTGCCAGGAATTCGCTTTTCTCGTTTTCGCATACATTAATCTGAACTGCATATCTTATATTGATGAAGAAAAAACTGAAATGGTTGAGAAAAACTCTCTCATAAAAGTTACCTACAAAATTTCCAGACACACTATGAAGCGAGCCATATATGAAGTCAAAATTAGCGGGAAAATTATTCCGATATTCAGATAGAAATAACCTAATGCTTATTTTCGGGGAGGTGACTAAGCTAATTTATACACTTGTTAAGTGCAGCTCGTATTTCAAATTTCGATTATTACGATCTTTTCCCGTAAAAATGACGTCAACCATTTCAAAATGAAATCTCTAACGGGTGCTTGATTTAGATACTGTCATTTTGTGTCGATACGGTTTGTCTTATAGACAATAAATACAATTTCGCTCGTCGAAATCAATCAGGACACTTAATAAAATATGACGAGAACCGAAGAAAATTTTGTGATGATCAAAAATGAGTATCGAAACCAGTAATCAATAGAAAATCAAAGATACAAAGGTACAAAGTTTTAGTTTGACGGAGGAAATTCCGAGTTTGGAACATCTAGAAGTTTTATCCCAGAAAAAGAGTAAAATTGTTGGCCACTAATTATCATCATAAGAAGCACAGCATAACAAATTTATAAGTAATCTATTTTAGCTTTGAAATGCAATCAGTGATGCGACGAATTAAAACGATACAAAATAAGACATGCATGGAAAAATTTTTTGACAAAAATATGGAAATGAAAAAAGAACGCAACAAACCAGTCACCGAATTACATTGGAGTTTTATAAGAGCGGGAGATAGAATACAGCTAAGAAATTTCATGACTTAGTCATTAAATATCACATAATATATAACACGAAATAGCTGTCATTCCAAAGATAATGTCCCGCATTATTATAAAATAATTCATAGCCCTCAATAAATGTACTATTGTTACTTAAATAAGCCTAAATTCTTCCTAAACACAGTGACTGTAAGATCCCAAGGAAAATAATGATATTCTCGCAATATTTCCGAAAGCAGGAAACGAATTTCAATTTCGTGCATCTCGCAAATAGCAAACCAAAAATACAGTTGCATATTCTTCAAGTCAAATATACATCGCTATAAAAAGATTGTTACTTCCGGAGTATTAGTAACATAAGTCGGAACTCAAGAGTTAAAACATATGTATAACACATGTATAAGATAAGTCTCGAAAGCCTCGATGAGCTTGATTGACTAAATTAATAAAATGACGCGACACAACTTCAATATTAACAAAGTAAGAAAGGAACTAGCAAATTTCCTTTGAAAATCTTTAGGACTTCCTACGAACCTAATAACTTCAAAACCCGCTTTCTCCTATTATTATATTGGCCTTTGTTTATAAAGTTAGGATTCTTCTACAGAAAGTCAACCGCTCCACTTCTGTTAAACTAAACTTCTACCTGGAAGAGTCTGCCTTTATGACAATTATCAGTCGTGAAAGATGTGGTGAAGATTGGTTAAAGTGTACTTTAATTACGCTGAAGATATCAGAAAAAGGAGATGGCATACTACTTTGCGTCAAAGAGACTTCATGTCATACTACCGAGATGACAAAATTAAAATTTAATAGTAATAAAAAAGCTGTGGAAAATATGGTAAGAATAATTGAAAAAATAAGAAAGTACATACGCGTGACCTTTTATTAAAAGATCTTGGCGGGTAAAATCCGAATAGGATATATTTCTGTATAACCAAAGAGCATATATAAACTTACAAAAATTTTCACTTCCTAATATGAAAAATTCAATGTACTGCAAATACAAAGTTATAGAGACCAAGAATTAATTATTTCAAATGGGAAACAACAATCTGAGAGAGATTAACGGTACTAGCCGCTGAACCATATCCTCTAGCTCGTTTTTCAAGTCATTAACAGCTCAAATTACTCAACTTTAACCGATAAAACCTTCTCAGCTTAAAAGTAATGAAAATTTCGCTATTTCAGTTCTTTTCCTCTTCACGCCTCTCACAAAACCCTATTTGTGAATTTCAGTTGTTATGGTGCTGTTAAAAAAAATAGTGATTAAAATGTACTCAATCATTTCGCACTACTGAGAAAAACCTTTCTGAGGACAAAATTTCATACGTAATTTAGTTATATAATTTATATTTACGAACTTTTTATATTTTTTGCTAATCTATCAGAAATTCCATTGCCCCTATCTAGTCGTTTATAAAAGATAGGTACCAAAGACAGAAATGCAGTAAAAGCTACTATTGATATGGCGCTCCACGACCAAGCTGCTCCCATATGTGTTAACCTTTGAAGAGTTGCACCTGCTTGAATGTAGATACACGACGGTGGTCCTACACCTGAAAGTCACAATTAAATGCCACTCGAAAAATTAGTTAAGAGAGAAACACAAGAGTGTGCAATAAAACAAACTTATAGATTATATTGTGATTTAAGAATCAGGAAAAAAGAAAGCAAAAAGAAATACTTACCCAACAATGTTCCGAAAAAAAACGTTGAAATCGGAACGTTAAATATAGGCGAAGCAAGATTTATAAGCCAGTTCGGCAAAAGTGGCGTTATTCGCAAAAAAATAATGAAGTAAAAGAGACTATCAAAATCAGAAATCTAAAAAAAAAAACTAAAATCAAAGGAATAAAATCAAAACTTGAAGACGTTTAATATAGTAGTTTAACGACTATTTATGAACCGACAATATTTGTAGAAATTATTTCGATCTGTTTCAGATTTGCCAAAATTTTTCTTAATTTATTACTCTGAAACAACTGTCCTTAAATTTTTTTAGAGGTTTTTTATTCTTTTAAAATTAATCCAAACTCCGCATTCACTGCCTGGTCATACATTATTATCTCTTGCTGATTTTTTCTGCTAATAGATTATTTGTAAAATAAATATAATTTAACAGATTAAAACTTTAAAACTAGTAATCAAACCTCATTTTTCCATTTGCTTATTTTTTCCGGTGCAAATGCCATAATTCGTTCACGTCCAAACATAAGCGCAAAGAAATAACATATCTGTGCGCCACAAGCCGAACACTACAACTAATTCCAGCTATTTTTTTGGTGTTAATTAAGGGAAGATTGAAGGGGAAGCAAAAAAAAATCACTTATACAGTAAAACAATTGTCAACTATCATGACTTACTGTACAAACTAGACATAGCGCAATTGGAAACGAAAATAAATATCCTGAAAGAACAGTGAGGAAAATTGAACCGGGAATAGCTAATGACTGTAACCTGAAACACAGATATAAGTATGGAATTTGGGAAATAAAAAAAGAGATTGCGGAAAATGTTAGAATACACTCACTATATAGAAATGGAGTTTCCTCAGAAAGATATATTATCATATATCATATATCAGATGGAACTAATTCGGCTAAATTTCTCGTATTTAGGATGTATATGATTGATAAAGAGGGCCTACAAGGAAATGTAGTGGCGAAAGGAAGGGGTAACATCTTAAACAGCAATTGTAACATAGTGTTTTATCAATAAATTTTGGAAGTAATTTCGAATAACATCAAAAGAGCAAAGTACAAGAGGGAAGTGAGAATTAAACGCTTGGAAGCGGCTAAGAATCTTAACAGCAAAGAACAAATAGGCCAAATAATGTAAAATTCAGGAGGAAATAAAGGACTCACATGATGTACACAATTGATATACCAAATAGGACAGTATAATAATGCTCATCCTTATACTTCGAAAGAACCAGACCTAATCGTTTTGCTTGTTTTAGATCCTTTGGTAATTTGAAATCAGCTCTTTCATCGCTGAAATACACAAGCACATTAGGATGCAAATGAAAAATAAAGAATGAACCGAAAATCAATTCACAAGAAAAACCGCAATTAAAATTCGGTCCTTTTAATGAATCCCATTTTGATAATCTTAAATACAACAAATTTGGTTTGGAGCATATTATAGTCCCCCAACTCAGATACTATCGATAAATAAAACACACGGAAAAATTAAGTAAAGAAAACCAAAAAATTTTATTTTCAAAATTTCACGTATTGAATCTTTCAATAAAACACAGTCCCTCTCTCTCTTATTAGCAAAAAAAAACTTTCAGATATCCAAATAATAAGGAAAATGGTAATACAGAACCAGCATAGCCAACCTCCAGAAGGAATAAGCAACATAGGAAATAACAAAAACAATAAATCATCTTGAGAACACTGACAAAATTAATAAAACAGATTGAAAAATAACCTCCAACTTACTCAGTAAGTTCTGGAAAGTTGATATAGAGCGTAAATAAAATTAAAACAATGCCGAACAAAATACATGCTAGGAACATAAATTTGTTAAGAGCCATATGATCAACAGCTTTATTTCGGGTTTAGTTTAATCGGTTTTAGTATTGGTAATAAAAAATTAATGTAATATCCCTGAAATATAAAACTTCCATAAAGAAGAACAAGTATTTATGATCAGAGCTCACCAAAAACTCAATACCTCAATAAAACGATGTATGATTATGCTACCAACCATTCAACTTAAAACCACATAATTGTTATTCGGAAGATACCAAAAATCTTTCCCCTATGAATCTATGAATCTATTAAATACCTGAGAAAACAAGAAATATTTCGACACATTAAAATTCTTCCTTATAAAATAGAACATCTGAGTCGATAGTAAGAAGCCGTATAAAACGTCAACTCTATCTTCTCTGAAAACAAAGCGATCGAATTTTATTTAAAAATTAAAATCGTAATAACAAACAATGAACAATTTTCTTCATAGTAACAAATATCATTTGATTTTCAATTTATTTCAGTGCAAGCATAGCAAAAATAAAAACATACGATATGATCAAAGAGACAGAAAAAACATAATAAGCATCAAAAATCAAATTTCAAGTTTCTCATGAGACTTGACTTTCAGAAACTGACAATTAATTCCGCTCTGGTCTAGCATTTTTTTAAGCTTGCTAAAAGGGATAATTTACGAAAGCACATAAAAAACCCATAAATGATAACAAATATTTAAATATCTTTTCTTCGAAATCTTTCAAGCACTGTCTTTGGAGAATCCTTCGCCTTCACTATTTCTTTATCAAATAATTCACCTTCTAGCTTCTTTCGCTCTTCGTTAATCACAAATCTTTGTTCCGCTTGCACACCTTGTTTGATCTGCTCCTGTAAAAGATAATAAATTCTTTAAAAACTATGCCAAAGATTGACTGTCTTCCTCTACTAGGCATAAAAAAGTGTCCAGAAATGACCAGTTGACTAGCTTCTGAATTCCTAACCTTTCTTAGGGAACTGCCTCGTCCTTTCTTCTTATTTTTAGGTTTAAACTTCACTTCACGTGGTTTTGTATGGAGTAACAACTTTAACCGTTCATTCTCCTTCTCAAGCAAATCCGTATTCACTTGAACGATTTCTGTAGTGTCTAAAGTGATCAATTCCGGCTGGATCTAAAAAAAAAAACAAGTATTTCAAGACATCATAATAAGTCTGCTTCACACTGTTTTTGCCTGTATCAAATTACTGAAACCATAGGATACCTTATCTAAAAGCTGCTTCACTTCCCGCTCTCGCCGTTGAGTTTTTGATTCATAAGGATTTGTCAAGAGTGCATTAAAGTTTGGTTCTCCGCTTCCTGCAAGTAAAAAATGTAGGAGAAATTTATTAATATAATTGAAAAATAGAACACATTTTTTAAATTAAAAAAGAATCCTAAGATAGAAATAATTACCCGGTACAAGTAAACTGGTAAATCCCTGTTGGTGCCCGACTCCAAGAACATCTTCATATGGACAAAATTTTACACTGGAAATTATTCCAGTGCACTGATGTGACATATAAGGCGCAGTAGTTGTGCCCAAATGCGCATCATTTAAAACCTGTGAAAAAACTTTTAAAAGCAATAAAATGACAGAAAAATGTTTACCTTTATTTCATAGTCAATTAAACCTGAAATTTTTGAACATATAAAGCTGAAGAATTACCTGAATTTGATTCCCAACGCTGCAAGCGACTGCATAGCGTTGACTGAAAGATACTTCCGCCAACCCAAACGGTAGCGCATAAGCATATAACTGTTTATAATTACGTATATCCCATATTCTATAAGCGGAGGTTTTCAAACACTAGATTATAATTTTCGATAAACCCAAGCTTCAGAAATTCAAAATTACCAGAACTCATAATAAGAAAAACAAACTACCTCAGCTTCTGATCAAGACCAGTAGTAGCCATATAATTATTTTCCACAGCTATGCCTCGTACCGAACAGGGGTGGGCGAGCATTTTTATCAACGGTTCTCTGACATTCGGAGACCATAACTGTACTGTTCCTGAATATAGCAACAATTATGATTGAAACCACAATGAAAATTAGTTTATATAATGCAACATGGTTTGTACCGGTTTCATTTTTAAATTTTTTCCATATAAAAATTGTAAAATAGTTTATATGTGAAGCCAACCATTTCCATGCCCGGTGTGAATAATAGCGTTGTTTGGATTCTGCGTCATTACATCCAGAGGTCCCTGCTTTGTTGGAAAGGATTGGACCATTTTACCCATCGAAATGTCCAAATAGTGCAGAAATGATGTATTGCTCTGCAAGCATTGACTAAATATATGTATTGTACGTCTATGCGCTATCACTTTTTTTGTTAGCAACAAATAATTTCTTCAGAAGATAATTCTTGATTTTTGACTTTTTAATCTCACATAAAAATAACAAGGTCCTTGTAATTATGGCTTATTATTTATCACTATTTGAATGACAAATTTTCCAAATTAGTTACAAAGCATTACAGCTTACCCCAGCAACAAGAAGGAAATGCCTCGGAAGAAATTCCAAACGCCTGATATCATGCAGATTTTTCAAACAATGCAACTCTACCCCCGTGTTGTCATAAATATGCGTCCATCTTTTTTGAGCAACCGCAAACATCGTTTCAACATGTAACCATCTGAAACCAAACTTGAAATCTTGCTTGCTAAAAAATTCAAGCACTATCAATCATACCACCTTTCAGAATGCATTCATTCCTTGAATTTTGAAGAAACTTTTCGCACATGCTAAAAATTTTCTAAAGTCTCCACGGTCTGACTGCTTTCCATCCGTGTATTTTCTTTTTTTAAAATTTCATACTTGACAAATTCCACAGAATTACTTACTTAACATCTCGGACTCCCTCCATGACATTCATTTCACAACGGAGTGTTTTAGTTAGCCAATCAAAAGCTGCGACATGTCCACATTTACCCCCAATTAACAGATGACGACCATTACGTGTGTAATCCGCACGATATGGACCAAAACGTTCCAACCGCAAATCAAAATGCTGCAAATAAACAACTGATTACAGGATAAACCGCTAATTTTACAGGATCTCTGACTTCTAATACTAAAAATTCCAAATATTCAAAAAAAAAAAAACTGGAAACAAAAGTGAATAATAAATTTACCTTGCTTGCACTTGCAATATCCACAGCACTGCATATAACCTTCTGCTCGATCGTATAAGTAAGTTCTCCCTCATCTCCAGCAAGAAAACTGTAAATGAAAGACGTGATTAATATTGGCTGTAATGGTTAAGGAAGATCAAAACGTGCAAATCAAATGTAGAATTTAAGAGGCAAAATCACTTACCCTTCATGTTCATTGTTGAGAATCTCCGCTCGTGCGATTTCCCTTGTCCTTTCCAAGAATCTTTTCCTTTTGATTTCAAGCTTTGCTTTATGAAATCTTGTTTTCACATTTTCCTGCAAGTTGGTCGAACCTATTAGATACGACCTTAACATGAGTGCAGAAGTTCAATGAATTAGTACCACTCAGAACTTCATGGCTAGTAAAAGTTTTAGGAAGGGTTGAAGCCAACCTTCTCTATCCAAAACACAAGTGAAAACAACGTTGATGGAAACAGTCACGAAAACAACTCATCATTTCTGACAAAGACAATTACCGGATTAATATTTGCAGCACCGGTATCATGCCTTTCCAAGGCATTTTTTGGTATAAAAAAATCACCATCGTGTTTCGAGTGTTTCTCATATGCAGTGTTTTCCTTCCTGAAAAAAATCTTTGTAAATTTTCCAGATCTCTTCAAGAATCCTTAAAAACAACATACTTTTCAGGAATCCGAAACAATACTCAAGCGCATCAATTCAACCATAAATATTAATAAGTTCGGGATAACGTAGAAAATGCTGACTTTACATATGGCCGTCTTTTGGCTCTCGTCGAACTGATAAGTGCGCTTTTCGTAACTGAAAGGTCGATGATCTCAGTTTTCATCTCATCTTTCACCATCACCCTCCAGCAATTCTGAAATACAAGCAGTCCCCTACACCGAATTAATCCCACAACCAAAAACTCCACCTGACACGACCCCTACAAGCATTCTCCCTGTGTCACTTCGCACAATGGAATGAAAATTCCTGTCGCGTTGTATATTCAAATTTATAGACTTCTTCAATTAACTTAGTTTTAACGTTTCAGTTTGGTCGGTTTACGTAGAGGTGGATGGCTGATTGTTTTTGTTTAGTTCTCGAAGGAACATTTAAATATTTGGGAAGAGAATGATACGTGACCTCGTTAACCGTTAAACCATGCGATTTAATCAAATAAGATATTTACCAGTATGGCGAAGGTCACCGTAATGGTAAATATCTTATTTGACGTTGAGATGATATAATTAAGTAATAAAAATTTTCTGCCTTTATTTTCCTCTTAAGGAAATGTTTTTTTTTAATCTTTGTTTTAATTATTAAGGTGATCAGAATGGAGTGCAATGTTGACGGGAAATTTAACGACGGTGACAATTTAGGACATTCGAACAATAAAGCTACCATTGATCCGAAAAATGTTTCATTGGAGAAGAATAATAGTAGAAAACGAAGACGCAAGCGACCGCGAACCAAAGCTCTTCGACGAACAATCAGGGAAAAGGTGAACTAATTTCACTTATCTTTTTCTCTTTGGAAGTGAAATGTAGGAATTGCTTGATTAGTTCAGCACTTTCATTCATGGTATATGCATTGCTGTGGTCATAGGTCTTAGGCGTTTGTTTGTGTAAACTTCCCTAGAAAGAAGTAGAAATACTTCTTGATGTAAGTGGTTAGATGATTTCATCCATTTACTGGCTCGCAATTTTGATATTCAAGTACTTGAAAAGGCTCAGGCTTAGATCAAAGCAAGATGAGCCGCTTCTAATCAGTAGTGCTACAAACTGAATTTTGTGACACAATTTACAGATTGAAATAGCATTATGTACGAGTGACTCGCCAATTCAAAATGTCTTAGAAACAGATAAGGATTGTATGTACGGTGCACCGCTATCAACGGTAGTAAAGTTGTTGAAGTTAGATACGGATGAATATCGAAAACTAAGTTACGAAGCGCTTGTCAGTATTGGACGTTTGTCGAGATTTTTTGCAATTATTGGTCATTCAATCGACAGTCTTCAACTTGTGCTCAAAACTGATGGTTTGAAGCACAATTCTGCAGTTGTTTACGTCGTAAGTTTGTTCCTTTAGTAGTTTGAAAGAATTATATCATATTAGTAGTTACTATTATGTTCCTTCTAGTTCACATTTTTTTACTATGAGAAATGTACCATTTTTCATAGTAAAAAAATTTATCATAAATTTTATCATAAAGGAATTAAAGTATCTATTTGTAAAATAAGTAATAAAATAAATAATCTCTGTTCCAGACCATCAGAAATTCAAGTTTCCTAATGAAATTTTTTTTATGACAATTTACCCCACGGCTGCAAAGTGGATTCATTGCAAAAATGGGCATCAACATTTGGGACTGTTGTATATGTACGTCCCATCATGGAGGGAAAAACGTATTCGAATAAGGATTCTGCCACAAATGATACATCCGTCTCAGCTGAAGTATCTACATCTGCTGCGTGTACGGGCAGATTTTTTCAAAGTGCTTTTATCAAATTTGTACACGACGAGTCTTCAGCAGATTTTATTAAAGTAACGTTTTTGTTATTTTGAAATAGTTATAATAATATTATAGTTGTTAGTAAATATGTTTGATGATAGATCAAGTTTTCTCGTTTTTTGCGTTACTTGCCAAATTATTTGTAGTTTCATCAATTGTTACGGAAGAAAGCTGCTAACAGACGACGCAAAAAGCTGAAATTAGAAAGAAAAAAAGCGGTTAAAAGATCAGCGAATTCTGTTTCAAAAATTAGAAGCAAGAAGAGGCTTAAGAAAAACAAACGTAAGCCAAAAAAAAATGCTGAAGACCGGAAGATCAAAAATGAAGGTGAGATTTCTTGAGGTATAAAGGCTGTGAAATCCGGCTCAACTGATAAAGATTTAGTTGGTATTGTTTTAAAGATAATTTTAAAAGTCAGAATTGGAATTAAGAGGCAGTATGCTGGTAGTTTTTTTATTTTACAAGTGCTTCCGTTATTTAAGAACAGGATAGCTTTTTTCTTTCGAACTTGCAGAGTTTCAGAATGGTTTTAAAGTAGTTATTGGAAGTTAATTCAATTTATACTTATCGTTTTATAAACTCATGCTAAAAAACCTTGATTCAGAAGCAATGGAGACCAGTGCTGAAAAACCAGAAGTGGATGTGGATAATTTTAGTGATGTTATAAGAAGTGAAGGAAATTACAATGGAAAGAGGAAACGGAAAAGGCGATCAAGTCGTGGAATGAATAAAGTACTGCTTAAAAAGGCCAAAATGATTATTAATGAAGGTAATAATGCTAATTTAATATTTATAAAGATACCAAAATATATGGGTGTTCAGATATTTTTCGCTCAGATTAGCAGTGTTTCCTGAAATTTTGGGATCTGCTCTGCGAAACAGCTGAAAAATAAACATTTTGGTGCAAAATGTTTCAAGAAAAAGATTCATGATACAACTGATTAACAGTTCTTGTAACGGAAGATGCTAAACTGCATTGAATTTATTAGTGTAACGGCAATAAAAGATGTTGACGTTGCAGAAAAGAAAGTTGAAACAGAAGCAAAAAATGAATCGAAAAATGCTGAAGAAAATGGGTTTAAAAATGCTGATCCAAAAAAAGCTTATGTAAAAATTGATGTGGCTGAAGGGAAACAAGAAAGTAAGGACGATGAGAAAGTGGAAATTGATGGTGGATTTACAGCTGCAGTAACTGGCGAATTATTGAAGAAAACGTTCAGAGATGTTGGAACCGATGTTCCCGAAGAGTTTTTGTTAACTGAAACTGGTGATGCTGTGAAAAAGTGCGTAAAGTTCATTTTTGCGTTGATATTTATGGCTGGAATATTAGATTATAAAGAGTCATTTAAATCAAATATTTTAATTTTGAAATTCAAAATAGTCGTAACATATTCATTCTAGACGAAAACGTGTGCACCGACAAAGGCGACGCGATGGTAAGCCAAAAAATTGCAACCAACGTCCGAAGAAATATTTCCGTAACATACAAGTATATTCATTGTAAGAGATTTTTCTTCCAAACTAGCAGCTCTCCTCTTTTTTTTGTTCCATGAAAATTCTGATTTTAAGCATGTTCAACATTGTGCATTTGTTTGCTTTCATGAAACTGTTTTTATTTCCGGTGGTTTTTAACTCAGGTATTCTCTTCTTATATCTTTTTTTTTCAGGGACACATTTCAAAAACTTCGTGCAAGATATTTAGAATTGAAGAAACAACAAATGGTTGAACTGAAGGCCAACTTGAAAAAAAAGGGCGTGCCAAATACGCTATCGGATTTGACCAAAAAGGAAAGGAAAAAGAAACGTGGGCGTAGTCGGGTAAATTTTCCTCTTTGTTTTTACTTTTTCAGTGAAGGAATTTCGACTTAACTTCTTTTAAGTTGAATTTAATTACTTCCGATGAATTATTATTTGCAGCTTATGATGCGCGCCGCAAAATTACGTGAATATGACAATCTCATTCAATGTATCCCAGAAGAAGATAGGCCTGCAGATAGTCAAGAGTGCGATAAAAACTTTTCTTCCATCACTGGTGATTTTGCTTGTGTTTAAAATTACTTTTTGAGTTTTTTCTTTGTTTGTTTCATTTCATAACGTAGGAGATAATTGTGTATATATTTTTGTAAGTGCTTGATTTTTTTTGAAACATGAATGACCATGGCTTTAAATATTCTTGTAACTTTTGGAAAGATATGAGTTTATTGCTGTTATTGCGGGATGGATGATTTGTGCATTTTAATCATTTTAATGATCTTAATTATGTAAAATAATTCCTTATCAATAATCTCTACTTTATTCTGACCACGAATTCAGAATGCGCTCCGATTTTAGAATTACGCTTATAATGATTGTAATCATAATAATTGGGTGATATATATCCAGTTCCATCCAACGGTGAACATTGTCATTATATTGAATAAAATTGATTTTGTGAAACGATACTATGGTTGGATTATACTAATTTTTATTTCAGAAAAGACCTAAGCAAATGATGTGCATGTAATGCATTCTATACAAAAAATAGTGATGAACGAGGAAATAATGCCTAGAAATGATAGAACAGAGTAACATCGCTTAGAAACACTTCAACTTTCACGACTGCACAACGAACCATACAGATTTACATAAATGATTTTTGTAAATTTTTCTCGGAGATCTCAAACTTTTGGATTTACACTTATTAGCATGGGTTCTGGGATTTTAGGCATGAAACAATCTGTTTTTCTTGTGAACTTTTTCCGCTCGAATTTATTAGGGATTTTGGAAATCTGAATAAAGAAATGAAATTAGATATTATTTTACATGGCAATCCATGTAGATGAGGCAGTACAATGTACAAAGTTATAGAGGGAGCTATGGAGTTCATAAATATATGAGATCTATGCAGCAGTTGATAGAACGAAAATGACCGCAAAATTGAGGTTAAAAATCTGAAAGATTCGCTTTGAGTAATGAAGCTAAATTTGAATGAACGACAAAAATTCTTCACGATTTTTAAATGAAATTTCGATGGAATTTTTCCAATCATGGTTAGTTAGGTTTGCGGTCATCATGGTACAACAGGAAATTATATGGATAAGTGTAACATCTTCAGTTACAATTGGTTTTTTTTTTTTTTTTTTCAACTTTTCGGTTAAATTTTTCATTATTAGAGGAGATATCTGAAATTTTGCTGTAAATTATCCTTCTTGCTCTTCTTTTCATTGAGTTCTACCATCATATATCATTACTCGCCTATATTAACAATTTCTCCTCTTCCCTCTATTATTTCTTTCAGTCAATTTCAGCAAAATTTACAAATGTTTTAAATTCCTCAAATTGTTTGATTATGAAATTTCCAAAAGTAATACACGTATAAATGCATTTTAACAAGTGTAAAGGAAATAAAAGTAAACAAGCATAACTGTCCTTATGTTATAGCATAACGAAATTCCTGAGCAAGGAATGAAATACGTGAATTACATGTACAAATAAATAGGAATTTTTTTTTTTGGTGTTGTTTGTTTCACAATGCTACTAAAATTGAGCGATATGTTTGTGTTTTGGATACATGCTGATAATAATATGGAATTGCTGATCGCAAACTTTTGGTAATCTTTGGGAAAAAAACCGTTAATTTTCATTACTTATTTCACTTTTTGGACGAAGTCTCGACGAATAGATCATCTTTAGCGTCATCGTGAACGATTGGAGCAATCATCTGGACAAATTCCTCGTAATTGATCTGGAGATTTTTGCATATTTTGCAAATTTTTGAATCATTCAAATTTTAAAATCCACAAGCTGTATTTTTTCAGTCAAACTTACCGTTGATTATTATCCCCGGATACGGTACCAAATGACATCGTTCATCGCCATTTTTATCAACTTCTTGAATATATTCGATTTGCTAAGCTATCATAAAGTTTTAAAAAAGCGATGCTAACCTGTTCATCGCCATCTTTATCAACTTCTTGAATAATTTCATCTACTTCTTCTTCGCTGAATTTTTCACCCATTGTTGTCATGAAATGCTTAAATTCCTGAGCTGTGATATATCCATTACCATCTTTATCAAAAACTCTGCAAAATTTTGCACAATAAATTTTGTTAGATTAATTTGCAAACTTCAAAAAAAAAAATAGTTTGAGAATTTCGAATCATTTTATCATTTTGTAACGTTTTTGGATAATTTTCTTAACTTCTACCATCTATTTTTATTCTAGTCATCGTCATCAATTCTCTTCCATCATTTACAGGATATAATCCCATCATTCAAATCGCTCTGCTTAAATTCATTTCTAATAGATACATAATTCAGTTTTTCCTGGCTTCTTTTAAGCTTTTGAGACATATACATGTCCATTCTATTTATTTATCGATACCTAATCATTACTATTTCTTCACTGAACTGAGATGCTTATACTTTGTCACAAAGTACTTTGAACTACTTTTTTTTTCGTCTTTTTCTTGAATTTAAAATGACCCATCATTCTTAATGCAATATAACTAAAGTGAGTTTAACTTTAAAATTGAATGAGAAAGGAAACTTTTTATTAATATTTGCAAACTCTCGAAATCGGAACTTTTCCTGAATTAAAATTCGAGTACTGCAATACTGCATATAGTATATAGCATATAATATATATATATATATATATATATAGGGAAAGAAAAAAGTAAACACATTTTTGAGGGAAAGAAAAAAGTAAACACATTTTAATGGCTTTTTATCAATCTAAAAAAGAAAAAAAAGAAAGAAACGCTTTTTATGTACGAAATCGTGAATACTTATATAAACCAAGGAGGGTCAGGTTTTTTGACAAAATACTTATATTTGGGTTTGCCGGATAATTTCTGAACTCTTTCTTTATATTTTAAGAAGAAAAAAATATCAGTATGGAAATACTTGCAATGTATAAATTGAAACTCTTGAAGTTTGATTGATCAGCTTTAAACTCAGGAATGTTTATATTCATGTTTTAAATCAAGATCCAGTCTGATGCTCAATGATAACCGAAGTCTCTTATTTTATCTAAAACACATGTTGTGTCATTCCCCCGTTGAATCAATCATTATAGTAAAATAGAATAGCACAGATGATTGATGAAAAAGCACATACTTGAACGCTAGTCGTATCAATTCTTGATCCGTTTCCTTGCTCATTTCTTTCATCATTTTACAAAATTCGAAAAAATCAATTTTGCCATTGCCATCCACATCATATTCATTAACCATATTTAGTAGCTCTTCCTCAGTTGGATTTAATCCGAGAGTACGCATCGCTACGCCTAATTCCCTAATATTCATCGTGCCATTGCCATCTTTATCGAACATCTAAATATGATAACATTGAAATTACTAGAAAATATACATGTTAATATTAGCATAAGATTAGAATTAAATCCGCTTTTTTTTTTCAGGAAAAAAATGTACGCAATCTACACTTTCATGCAAGCGTTATCATCGAAGTGCATTACAATTCCCGGAAAAATAAGGAATGATATAATAATGAGTTATCAGAATGGAAAGATTGGAAAATCAAAAATTGTGATATACTTCATCAAATAAAAGGAAAGGGAAACAAAAAATTAAGCTGTTAAAAAATTTTTGAATTTTAATTCAAAGAAATTACTGAAGAAGAAAAAGAAATGACAGATCGTCCCAGGAAAAGTTTAATTAAATTTTATAAAAATTTAATTGAAAATTTGCTAGAAATTTAAATCGTTTCCAATGAGACCTTAAAAGCTTGTGCAAATTCTTGCAACTCTTCCGGTGTAAAATCGTCCTGTTCTGTTGCCACTGATGAATTGGTATATCGACGATACATTTTCGGTTCATCAAGATGTGCCGATGAAGAATATGTTTGTTCTGTATTATGAACTGAAAACTAACTTTGCTACTAAAAAAGGAGAAATCGAATTTTAGTAGAATTCAAGCAATACTTTGTTAAATTTAGCATCATTCTTCTTTTTTTTTAAAATTATCAGTTTAAAGATTTTACGCATTACCTTTGATGAGCAAATTTCATCAATTGTAACATACCAATTTATAATTTGGCAGAATATTTTTGCAAAGATTTCAAAAAAGTCGTAAAATAAAAACTATTGCATGTGGACCGATGAACACAGTGCATTGCATTAGTGCGAATACATTAACAGACTAATTAGCAGATGGATAAAATGGAGGAAATTTAATAATTGAATTCGAAAAATATTTCAATGCTGTTGTTCGGTAAACAATTTAATGAAAAAGCCCATCATTGCAATGATAACTGAAGAGAGCAAATGGATTGACCAGTTTGATAGTTGATAAAAACAAGAGGAAGTTTAATATGTTGAAAATCTCGAGAATTTCCTAACATCATACTTTATTGTCATGCAGATCATTTCAAAATGAATTTTTTTTATACAATGATTTTGCTATTGTGTCGTAACAAAAAGAATTCATTAATATGAAAGTTCGAATGATTGTTATATGAGTATTAATTTTTCATGCATGAAACTTGAAACCGCTACTACTATAACAAATGAGATATTTTCTCTAAAATCTAGAAAGGAGAAAAAAAAATTTTTTTTAAGCATTCAAAAATGAAAAAGAACATTTTGAAAAAGCGATATCCAACCATATATTATATATGTATGCATACGTAATCGAGTACTTATAATTGATCGTTATATATTAGAAAATATAATTATTAGGTAATGTAACATGAACAACTTTTTGTTTTTGTTTTTTTTTCCCTTATTGTAATTTTTGAAAAAGTTAAATTATTGATAAATAGTAAATTTGAAGTATGAGTTTTAAAAAATTTGAAGCTTTCAAAATTTAAAATTATAAAAGAAAGTTTAACGATGACACAATTAATTCGAAAACATTTAAGAAAGAATAAGAAAATTTTTACAGAAATATAAATTTTTCAAATATCACTAACCTGGAGGTGTTTCAGGTTGTATACTATTAGTTGTTGTGGTAATTCCTCCATTATTGCTTTCGTTGGAAGATGAGGTGGATGTACTCGGTGGACTTTGAAATACACCTACCATATGGACAATACGACCTTTGGCTGGCGC